GTTGTACAGATCATCCATGAAAGTGGAGAAATCCCATGCACGAGGATTGGCCGATACCCGCGAAATGAAGAAGTCATGCGCCTTCCCATCTAGGAACGGGGCGATAACCTCGACTTGATCCTCAGGGGGAACACGACCTCTACGGATGTAGGTGGTGCATTCAGACCTGAAGCGCTGGTACTTGTTGATATCCTCCTGTCCCTTGTAAGTCTTGGGACTTGTGGGTGGGATAATAGGTCTCCGTGGGTACATGTAATCATCATGCTCATCGTAGCGAGGCCTCATAGGCCCTCGACGATGAGGTCGCCGATAATTCCGATCGTCCTCGTAATAGTCATCGTCATCCCCACCTCCGTATGGGTCATCATCTTCCGGATAACCCGGGCCACCACGGGGAGGAGGCCGCCTAGGAGGAGGCTGTTGAGGTGGTTGACGAGAGGGGTTACGAGAAGGGATCGGTGCACGACGGTAATACTCATCATGATTATCGTATCCCATCTCTCGATGGTAAGGAGGGTTCGGAGGTCGTCGAGGGGGACTATCCTCGCGATCATGGTAGTAGTAATCACGATCACGGCGTTCCCGCTCTCTGAGCCTACCCAAAATGCTATTGGGGGGTATCTGGTCAATTGGGGTACTATCTCGACCCTGACCCAAGCGACTACGATGAGACGGCTGTTCACTGGGCAGGCGACGTGGTGGAGGATCATCAGGATCCTCGTCCCCATCACCCGGATGACCTTGATAGCCACGAGGGCGGCTGCCAGAGGCAACTGGTCCTCGTCTATCCTGGTCACGATGACCCCGGTGTTCTGCCAGACTCTCATGCACTGCGCGTTGGAAGTCCAACTCGGCCTCATCCTCATCAAGATGGGCATTGCCCCAGTTACGGGGATCAGGTCCCTTACCTTTATCTCTTCGAGGGCGATCCTCATCGGAAGATTGGGGTTCGGTATCACGGGCATGTTGACGAGAAGACCGTACATTTTCGTATCTACGGACAATGGTGGCACGTTGGACAGAGGTGAGGTTGCGCTCGGCCTCGTCAACGGCGGGGTCTCGTCTATCAACACGATCATCTTCCGGTTCGGCGGCGACAGGAAGCGCCGAGAACACAGGAAGTCTCAAGTACCGGTTCTGGTTGATGAACCGGACTCGTCCATCAACGCTTTGCAGCGCTGATTCAAGGGAGGCGGATCGTCGAAGGGGTATGGTAGCCCAATCGTCGACCGCAGTCCCATCCAATCTGGAGCTGCGACCATCCGCAATGGTCGCCTCCATCTCACCGGACCTAGGACCTTCGTCCCGCCGTTCCAATGCCATAACAGGCTCTCGAGGCGACTCACGAGGACGAACTTGTTCGTCCTCGTGGACCGAGTCAGCAGCCATCAACGGGGTCGATGGTTGTGACGGCGGCGTAGCCGCGACGTCCGCATAAGTGCGACGTCCAGGGGTGGAAGGGGTGCTGGGAGGGGATGCGCCGTCAACAGCGATGGCGGACGCATCCACGGGGTCGAGGTCGGGTGTCGATGTCGCCGGAGATCGGTTAGCTAGACCAATCTGGGCCGCAGCCTGAGTCTGGCTGCGGGTACGGAGACGGGTGATAGTGGCCATGTCGGTTTCGCGCGTACGTCGTGAGTCTAGAGGACTCGGGTATCGGTTTTCAGGGGTTGGGTTGTCGCCGAGAGGTTGGGTGTCGGGTGATCAGGCCGAGTCCAAAAATCGGGACAGTGGGGAGCGAAAAAAGGAGAAAAAGAGAAAAAGATAAGAAGATTAAGTTTTAGAAGAAGAAGAGAGGGGGTCGGTGTCTGCTAGGTAGCCTAGTACTCAGTCAGCGAGAGAGTCGCTGTCGCTGAGATTTTTCGGAAGTTGTCGGAAGTCGCCAGAAAATTTTCTGTAGGTTGTCGAAGTCGCAATAGACGTTGTTTCGTCAAAAAATATGTGACGAAAGGGCCCGGCGTGGCTGTTAGGCGTCGTCGGGGTAGTTTCGGCACACGGTGAGCTCAACACACGCAGAGTGACGGTTTAACGTGGTGGTGGATTGAACTAGAGAATCGGTCTGCGACTACGACAAATGTCTGGACGTAATCTAAAGGTAATAGCAAATAGGTACAAACAGAAAGATAACGAATGGATAAGATAAGAAAAGAATCAAACGGGAAGGAAAGAGTCCGTGACGCTACACGGATTCTCCTCGTTATTAGATATTACTATTACGTTATCGTTATCTCTAGCGATGTAACCAGTCGAGTTTATTCTTGGAAGACTAGCGCATAGTCTCCACCTTTCTCGAGTACCTGGCCCGGGAGAAACACGCTCAGTCACGAACGGCCAGGCATACCGAAAAATACCCTAGCTTGGAATAGATACTCACCCGCTTATAAGCCTCCCGACTCTGTACCCTCTTGACGTACTCTTTCGTCAGTTTCCCCGTGTACTCTGGGGCACGCTGGACAAATACTTCGAGCGTGAAGGAAAGAATGAAGTCTGCTGAAGTGGGATGAGCCAGTCCAGCGAACCACCCTCCCTTGGAAGCGACTTGTTCGAGACGAGATTCAATCTACCAATAGAAAGGGTAGGTCAGAAGGCCTTTCGAAGAGAGTGAAGGCCGAATACTCACCAATCTCCCATGCTTCTCCAACTCAGGAGCGATTAAGTTCTGGTCCACCTTCGTGAATAGACCTTTGGCTATAGGTCGGATGAAAAAGGGAGCACGAGTTGGGATTATCCGGTAAATGAAGCGCCTGGTGAGGAGCGGTTGGAGGGAGCCTTCCGAGTAGTGTGACCCTATGAGTGATTGACGATGATATTAAAAGGATACGCTGGGAGAAGATAAAAGGACGTACAGTAGAGATTGTCGACCCATGCTGAAAAACTTTCGTCGACGCCAAACTTCTCTTTCCCATATCGATTGACCAGGTATTCTGAAACGACGGGGCAGAGGTAGCAGAGATTAGGTTTTCATGATGGGAAGGAAACAGGCCTGAGGCGACTCACCGACAATAGCCCCGCTTTCAGCTAGCACCAACCTCTCGCTGCCTTGTCCGTCCGTCAAAACAGGTGACTTTCCAAGTGGGTGAACTTCGAGCAACTCCTTAGGCGCGAGTTTCTCTGGCGTGCGTCTGTACACTTTGAGTGTGTAAGGGACCTCAAGCTCCTCCTAAAGGGCGTCAAACGCGGGCGTTAGAACCAATCATGGATGCACACTGCTGTGGCGAGCAATTGAGCAGGAGCTCGAAAGCGACAGTGTAGCAAGAATAGACGCCAGAATACGGATAGGGATACGACGTACCAAAAGCCATAGAATTCGCTGAGACCTTGAGTTTTCGAGATGGTGCAAGGTGATTGAAGGCTGGCTAGTCATTTCTGATCGAGGTTCGAGGAGTAAGGGAAAGGATACAGGGTCTCCGCATCAGAGGTTTCAAGGTGCGAGAATGGAATCAAAGCTATTTATATCTTTCGCACTCAGCCAGGAACGTAGACCTTTGGGTATACCGTACCCGCATGGCGTAATCAGCCTCACATAACTTCAGTGTTCACAATGTACATATATACGCCCACAGAAATGAATGATAAGCATCTTACCTGCAAGCGCGCTGTGCGTAGCCCCCAAGTGGGATCCTCAGCCCTGTATCGGGTGCTACGCAACCGGTCACATTCACAAAGACGACGGAGGAGATGCATGCGTGAGGCTGTGAGCTTACAAAGGCGAGGAAGGGAACGAGGAGGCGGACATAATTAAATGAATCCATTTAAGTATGACGTCAGAGACTGGTTGGGATACAGTACGCGTTACAGTTTCCCCAATGCATACTCGCCTCCTTTCTCGAGAACCTGTATTTGTGGAAAAATCATTGATCAGATTCAGTACCCGCAACTCGTCCAAGCTGACTCGAAATAGCAAGGAATAGGAAACCAGTGCTATACACCAAAGGCGACGATCCCCATCCTAAATGGAATCAAAGATGGAACTCACCCGTTGGTAGGCAGCACTCGACTTGATCTTCTCGACGTACTGTTTCGTCTTCGGACCTGCGTACTCGGGTGCGGCGAGGGTGAAGACTTCCAGCGTGAAAGATAGGATGAAATCCGAGGATGTAGGGTGCGATTGCCCAGCTAGCCATCCTCCCGTTGAGCTAACTTCCTCGAGTCTCGATTCGATCTAGCCGTTGGAAGAGGAACATAGGGAGCGTCGACGTCAGGAAGGTGTTCAATAGATGCACTCTAGAGTTCTAGAAACCCACCAGCTTCCCGTGTTTCTCGAGTTCTGGCGCAATGAGGACGGAATCCAAGTTGTTGAACAGGAGACGCGCGACCGGTCGGATTAAGAATGGCGTTCTATCTGGTACGATTTTGTAGATGAATCGTCTCGTGAGGAGAGGTTGTAGTGATCCTTCCGAGTAGTGGGCCCCTATTTTGTGGTTGAATGGACATTCGTCAGCTTTATTGGAGAGGAACGAGGTGGAAATTGACGCACAGTACATATTCTCAACCCAAGCATCTGAATTTTCGTCCAACCCGAACTTGTCCTTCCCGTATCGACTGATTAGATACTCTATGGGTCTTGTGGTGAGTCTATTCTACCAGGGAAATGTATGAAGGTGGAACGTACCGACGATAGCCCCACTCTCCGCCAAGGTCAACTTGGGCCCATCGGTTAGGACGGGTGACTTCCCCAGAGGATGAACGTCGAAAAGCTCTTTTGGCGCCCGTTTCTCCGGCGTACGCTTGTAGATTTTGAGGTCGTAGGGTACCCCCAGCTCTTCCTAAAGACGAGCAGCGTGTTTCAAAGGGAAGGCTACGGGAGACTGCAGACGGTGCTTACGAGAAGCCAAAGAATGCGCTGAGAACGCGAGTTTTCGAGGTGGTGGAGGGTAAGGGTAGGTGCTGTCGCGCTGGACGATTGCTGTTCGAAGGACATTGTCTAGTCTTGGATCTGTGAGGTTACAGATATGGTTCGTCGACGCCAACGTCGAGCTTTATAGGCAGTACTTCACGGTCTCTTTACAACCTATTAATAGAGTAAGGAAATAGATATGGCGCCGGAGCGGAGAGTATCCCGGTGGGTTGACTGCTGAGTGACCTCGATTGAGCTTGATTAAGCATTGAATGGGGTGGGAAGCCATGTTCAGGAAGCTTATTCAACGCGATAATCACGTTGATAGGGGAGGGGTGTTTTTACCGGCGCTTCAGTCACCGGTGAATGATATTGCACCACGCTGTGAGTCTCGTAGAGACGCAGGGTGCGCGTGAGATGGGTTCTCAATTGGAGATCGAACGTGAGGGAGTTCGGGGGAAGGTTTTGTTCCGAATGTGAGGTCTGGTACGTACGGAGTATGGTTATACTGATTCTTGACATAGGTTACATGTACATGACAGGGGTGGATACACTCAGAATCTCCACGTTGTTTTATGCGGTTACTAGAGTTCGCGGGATACGATATGAAATATGTTGGTGAGTTCTTCCTTAATAGTACACGCAATCAGCTTATGATTACGACTGATCACTTTCGAATAGGCGCTCGTACCGTCACGCATATGATCACATCTCACTAGCAGGGGAAGTTCCCCCAACCAGCGATGCGAAGGTCCAACGGAACACCAGATCCACTAGTCGGACTTGTACCCATGACGATGTTCGTCCCACCCAAGCACAGCGGCTCTCTACAGCACACAGTGAGCACGCCCAGCGCACCGAGGCCAATGGCGTTGTCGGTGACGATAGCGGCTTGGTTGGCGCTGTTGCGCACGCAGATGGTGAAGTATTCGACGACTTCGTAAGCCCATCTGTATCCTGGCGTCATGAGGGTTGTTCGGTCGTGGCGTGCGATGTCGAGGGAAATCCGTGTAGCGTCTGAGGTTGAGAATGGTGTTGTCCCGCCCGGCGCATGTTGCGTTTGTGATGGAGATGGGAGAGTCTTCGTTTGTGGAGAGACTGGGAGTGGATGGGTAGGCGAGGTAGGTGGGGAAGAGAGTGAAGAGGGGGAGGTATGAGAATCGCATCGTTGACTTGACTGAATGAGGAAGAAACCGCAACAAGCATTCTGGTCGTCTGTGGTCAGGTTTATGTAGACATGATTCGCGGAAGCCCTTGACATGATCGTTGGCTTGTGAAGGACGGGAGATGCAGTATGAGGGCGTTGATAGAAGGGGTTCTCCAGATTTATATGATATATCATGATTCTCCAGTCAATAACAGTTTTCACTGAGAACCATTGCACTAAAGAGTTCGGGAGAAGCCATTCTTGGAACACGGCAATCGCACTCTCGACGAGGTAAACGAGGCTGTGCGCATTTCCTTTGGACGACTCTAGCATACATTCTCGCCGATAGCCCCAACCCACACTTCCAAGGGAACATCCCCGTCTCCACCTCTCGCTAAAAAACTGTCTCTCCCACCCATACACCCACCGTC